TCAAGATGACAGGGGCGGGTCAAGGGGGGGGTCGGGGAACTCCCTGGAATTTTCAGAGTTATTAAACTTCTAAATAAAAGTGAAAAAAAATGACATTGAATCCCACTTACGGTAGAAACATGGACTCATCTTAAAACGACAAGGAGAATCATGTATTTCAAGATAATTGACTCAGGAAAGCCCCCACCCCCCGAAAAAAGTATTTTTGCTTGTCAAAAAATTTCCGAGTCTGATTTGTGGAACCCAGTATAATGTGAAAACTTTTGAGTGCATGACATGAACCTCATTTTGTCAGTTTTAATGGCTGCTTAGTAAATTCAACTGCTGACAAAAGTTCAGATTTACTGAGTGTCTTGACTTTTAAAACAACTAGTGTTTATATTATTGTTTTTATAGAATCAATTGTTGATTTCTGAGAAAAAAGTTCTGTTGACAGTCAAAAAGGAAATGGTATTCATCAACTGATTTATTACAAACTTACAAAACCTATGATCTTTCAGAATGTTTTTGCGTCCACCACTTTAAACCTCTAAAAAGATGGCCACTTAGTCTAAATTTTGAAATAAACTATCTGGTTGTAATTTTTGTTTTCTTATGATAGGTTTTCTTCCATTTTAACTTCAGTTTTTAATTTACAATAAAGATGCAAGTTAGCGCTATCTGTGAAGTTTAATTGAGACCATTGTAAACATCATGCAGTGTCTTTTTTAATTTTTGCTGAAGAGAATACTAGTACTTAATTTTATTGTATGCTTTATAAAATGTTACATGATCAAGGACGAGATTAAACTCTGCAATGCCATATTGTTCATATCATTTACATTATATATTAACAAGAGGCTCAAGGGCCTTAACGGTCACCTGAGTATAATACAACAATTTAAAGGATCCATAGAGTATAAAATAAACCGACAGATGACGTTTCGTTACCCAACCAGTAACAACTCATAAAGTAAGTTCTAATCTGCCCCCCCCCCCCCCCGTTCAAAAATCTGGTAAAAATACCCTTGCTTATTAAAACTATTAATATGTTTGCCTCTGATATGCCCAGAAGCAAAGAAGATTTTCAGAGAAATAATGCATTTTCACGACAGATTCAACACAGTCCAACCCTAACACCAGAACCCATGACCCAGGATCATGAATTTCACAAATTTAGAAGAAGTACTCTCATCATCATAACTATGCACTTAGTTGAAGTTTCTGAAAGAATTAAAACACTTTCACTATATTATCAATAGAGCCCCCCTCCCCCAAGAAACACCAGAACCCGTTTTAAAAATTTTGTAAGAAGCACACTTTCTCATCATAACTATACACTTTTTTATCTGCTCACTACTAAGAAGCAGACAGGATTATTTGATAGAATTGATGCATGTTCACTATATTATCAATAGAGCCCCACCCTTACACCAGAACATATGACCCAAGGGCCATGAATTTCACAATTTCGTTAGAAAACTCAATGCTTATTACAATTATGACAACAGTTTGACTGCTTGATGTCCAGGAGTAAAAAAGAAGATTTTTAAAAATTGCATTAATTTTCGTGAATTTAGCCCCACCCTAAGGCCCCAGGTAGACAGGGACCAAGAAATTCACAATTTTTGTTCCCCTTCACCCATAGATGCTATATGCCAAAATTGGTTGAAATTGGTTTAGTGGTTTGAGAGATTGATTGATTGATTGTATGTTGTTTAACGTCCCTCTCGAGAATTTTTCACTCATATGGAGACGCCACCACTTGCCGGTAGAGAGCTGCAATTTTTGTCCTATACTCGGCACTTACGGCCATTGAGCAGTGAGGGATCTTTTTCGTGCCAGCACCTACTGCGACACGGGACCTCGGTTTATACGGTCTCATCCGAAGGACCGGTCTCCACGTAAGGATCAACTCCTTACTTCGCGACTCTAAAGCAGACGCTCTAACCACTGTGCCACGCGGGCGACTGGTTTCAGAGAAGAAGCTGAAAATGTTCAAATGTTAACGCACAACGAACAATGACAGACAAAATGGATAACAATAGGTTACCTGAGTGACTTAGCTGACATACAAAATCCAAGAAAAGGGATTAAAAAAAAATCAAATAATTACATTCAATTAGTGTATTCAATTTTCAATTACCTGATTCTTTTCGCTCTTCATGAAGCTTTATGGATGGGTTCATATTCCCATCGGTGTTGAGCAATGTCCGCGCTTATTGGAGAACCTCTTCAAAGCTGATCGGTTGAGAGGCGGAGTGAAATTGATCAAAGAAGTACAAAAACACGAAATACGAGTAGTTAAAAGTTGCTGACCATAAAAAAACGGCGATATGTGGACCATATGTATGTGATTATGGAGAAAATTTCTAGGTTGTATTACAAGAGGCCCATGGGCCACATTGCTCACCTGAGCACCTTAGCTAGAGAAAAGCAGAAATCCCCGAGGGGAGGGGAGGTAGGGGGACGGGTCATGATTTGATAATTTGAACAAAACTGAATCTACATACCTGATGATGTTTCCATATGAATTTGACTAATAATAGCTTTGCCGTTCTTGAAAAGAATTTTTTTTTTAAAAAAATCCAATATATTCGTATGTAAAACCTTGATCGGCCATTGTGGCCCTACCCTACCACTTGGAGTCATGATTTGAACAATATGAATCTACACTACTTAATTAAGAATGCTTCCTTGTATATATGATTAATAATGGCCTTGCTTTTCTTGAGAAGAAGATCTTTAAAGATTCTTCCTATACATTCGTATGTAAAACTTTGATCGCCCATTGTGGCCCCGCCCTACCCCTTTGGATCATGATTTGAACAACCTTAAGTCTACACTATGTGATAAAGATTTCATATGTTTCATCTTTTCTGGCCCAATGGTTATTGAGAAGAAGATTTTTAAAGTCGCCATTAAATTATGGTCTGATATGCATATTCATGCCAGCACCTTTTAAGAATCACTGACTCAATTCCTTTAACTAAAACGAGCAAAATTTTTTTTTATTTTTTATTTTTTTTATTTTTTTATTTTTTTTTTTTTTTTTTGTTCAACTACAAATAATGTATTAGGAAAAAGATGTTCATTTTTATCTATATTGATATTGAAATCATCACGGTATAGCTTACAAGTACATGAATTAATTTTCATAATGAGGATTGTTTTATGTAGTATTAAACAGTTATAGTCACATTGTATGTTTAATATTGGCCCAGTTGATTAAATATGTGTAATTAATTCAATGTAATTGTATTTCTGTTAAAAATTAAAATTATAAGGAATTCAGGAAATATGTGTCCTCAAAATGAGATTGCTTCACAGTTAATTAACAGTACATATTAAGCAGTTGTCTAACAGTTAATCAAAAAGTACAAAAACAGTAGCTTTACAGTTTAATAAGCAGTGCCTAAACAGTTACATGTAAGGGAGCAACCAGTCCTGAAAAATTTTACCAAAATAACTGCTTACGAACTGCCTATGAACTGCTAACGAACTGCGTAAAACTGCCTAACAACTGTTAAGGCTTAGAAAACTGCCTATTTTATTCAAACGTTTTATTGTGGGCCCAACATACCCTAAGCACTGCAGTGAAGGTTTAAAAACTGCTAAGATGGTTCAGCTGTTAAGGTTAAGAAACTACTAAATAGCTGCCTTCCATTTTGCCATGGGACCCCTTTACCCAATGATGCTTTGTGGCAAATTTGGCTGAAATTGACAAAGTGGTTCTTGAGAAGTCAAACATGTTTACAGATGACAGAGGATACACGACAGATGTATGCCGGACACCCTTCGATCAGAAAAGCTAACATGAGCCTTTAATTGGTTAAGGTGAGCTAAAAAGTGGTTTACTCAACTTACTCTGGCATATCCTTGATATTCAGGATATTAGTGTTTGAGATACTGAAGTTTAAGGACATACGCAACATAGTTTTGAACGTTAGTTTCTTACATTCTGTAATTTTAGAGTTCCATTAAGTTTTCAACTCTTATGATGCTGTATATCTCCTTGAAAACAAATTTTGAGGAAAATTCAGCGAAAATTTTGGTAATTTTTGTATATTTGTTACTGAAAAACAGTGATTTTCATTATTTGATATCTTATTTAAAACCCTTGGTAATGATTGTATGCTGATTTCTTGTCGTATAAGAACATTTGATGGTACTTTGATTTTATACTGATATATCCTAATAAATTAACCAGATTAAAATTTTGTTAAGTATATTGTGTATGCCTGTAACATTAATTACTTTGTAAAATATCTAGTCATTTTCTTTTATGACTTCAACCAGAAGTCTCTGACGAGACTGTAGCTCTTCTGGTTTTTAACTCAACAGAAGTAGAGAAAGGTATCCCTTGGATTTGAGACTATGGCAATAACAATAAATAAATGATGATCCTTGGTTTAGTCTCTTTCCAAGTCAACATTAATTGCAATTGGACAAAAATTATATTAGGGGTAACATTTGAAAGAATTTCTCGGAAATTTCTATTTTTAGTAACCATGGCAACACTATTCATCAACATCAAAAACTGTTAAAAAGAATTATGTATCTTAAAGTAGTCTACCTGTGTTTCAAGTTATATTGAAATCAGAACAAAACTGTAGGAGGAGTAGCATTTTGAAAAATTGATTACAGACAGACAGCTATACAGACGGACGACAGACACCTTACTATCACATAAGCTCTTCTTGTCTCTGACCAGTAGAGCTAAAATATGAAGTAAGCAAACAAGACTCTCCCTCTGAGGTTCTAATTTGATCAGTCAAGAGGACCCTACTAATGAACAATTACTTCGTGAAAGAATGAGATATTCTCTTTTATGGCTTAAATGATAAAGATCACGTAAAAAATTAAGTAATTTAACAAGTGCAATATTTCTCATGACCTTGACTTTTGAGAAAAGGGTCAGAATCAAGATCATGATATACCACCTATTTTTTTTTTAATTCAAACTCCTGGTGCCATCTAATGTATATGAATAAAATAGAGCTTTAAAAAATGTATGTGTTTTACTCACTTTTCACGTTTACTGTGTTTAACTTCTTGTTATCTATGAAAGCTTCATAGGTGCCTTCATCAGTTTCTTTGGCTCGAAACAAAATCAAATCCTGGTTACTGTTCATCATATTATTGTTATCCAGCACAACGTGGGCTCTTTGACCATTCGTAATCTTGTACCATGTTACCTTCTTGCCATCCAAGGTAAAGGGGTAATAATGTGGTAAGATTACTGATTGCCCAACGTCCACTGCAGAGAAAATAGGTTGTTATAATACTACACATCTTGCAGACAGTAAAGGTTAAAAACAGATCAAATTAAAATATCCTTTGTATTTCAAACATTAATACTTTCTTGAAATAAGAATATTTCATTTCATTTTAAAACATGTATATTTATTGATACATACATTTTCCAATAGCGAGCTCATGACTGACACAGCTCACCTTAATTTATTAAGTGCTTTTTATCAAATTTTGAAATAATATGACATTTGTACCACTTACTTTTGCCCAATGGTATGTGCAGAAAAGAGTTAGATCTAATAACAATTCCCCATGGAAAAGTGAACTGTCTATATAGGCAGTTATTAGGCAGTTCTTTAGCAGTTTTGCAAATTTTAAGCAGTTTTCAAACAGTTTCAGGCAGTTTGGCTTTTTCTGTTCTTTTGTGACTGCTAGTGCCTTTGGAGTAAAGTTTTCCTTAGCAGTTTTTAAGCAGTAATCAGTTTCCCTAGCAGTTATATCTTGGTCGCCTATGCTTGAAAAGAAGACAGTTTTCCTAAGCAGTTTTTAAGCAGTTTATAAGCAGTTTCCTTGTACAATTTGATTGGGTTCAAGAGAAATTTTAATGTTGGGCTCAATGATCAACAAATATAAACAACAGGAACCCAACAACAGACCGCCAAAATTTAATTTTTGGCTGCCATGTTGTATTGTTGGACAAAGGCTATAAAGCATCATTGAAGAGGGAGCCTGCTGGCCACAAAGCTTTAGATTCATTGAAATAATGATGTAGACATTTAACAATTGGTAAGTACAGTATATTTATCAATTTGTGGCCTTGAATAGAGAGACATAAATTATATTATTTATGTCTACATGTTTGAATCATATTATGGTGTTTCTCATAATTCCATTCCGATTACAGTTTTAGAAGAGGAGTGGGACTTCTTGCATACCCATATTTTTGTGATTCTTTCAAGAAAAAAATCAGTGGATGATCTATTAAACCTAGCAATTATAATTACCAAAACAGTGCCGATTGAAATATCATATACTTTTGTGGTACAAGGATCGGAAAAAACTGACAACTGAAATTGTTCAAAATTGAAACCAATTACAGCTTTTCGAAGATGTGCACCTTAATTATTACAATAGCAGTGCCATAGGACAGATCTACAGAAATGTGTATTGTCAATTAATGCACAAAAGTGAAAATACAGCTGTTGCTAAAATTCTTTGATGATTTAATTGTGATCCATATTATTCATGTTATTATTATCTCTTTTATTATTTTTTTAACTTTTTACTTATGTGTGTTTGGATGAAGTGAATATTTGCTGTACTTTTGACTTTTTCCTTCAGTATTGAATTTTGTTGAACATTATTTATATGCCCTGGGATATATGAGATTTCTTACAAGTCAGTGGGTATACTTCCATGGTTGTACTTGTGTATGTAAATAAGTTACATGTATTAATTATTAGTTACACTAATTATAATAACAGATGCATAAAACAGTGTTTGATACTTTTTTAAACATTCATCTTAGCAATCTCTAATTGTTTGAATTGCTATACAATTGTACAAAATACAATAAATTAAAATGTAACAAGCATTTCTGGTATAGGTAGATCTATTATAATTGCATATTATTTCAGGCTGGATAATAGGAAATGTCCTCCTGACTAATTAATATTTAAGTTTAAAAGGAAATAGATAAGCAGTATATAATAGTTTATTGGAAGTCCAGTAGCAGTTGTCAAAACTGCCTATGAACTGCTAAGAAACTGCCTATGAACTGCTAAGAAACTGCCTGTAAACTGCTTGCGAACTGGTTACGAACTGGTAAGGCTAAGAAAACTGCTTATAGATTACAAAAGGTTTGAAAGCAATTTGTTTATCCATTAGCAGTCAAGGGAAGGTTAAGTATCTACTCCAGAACTGCTAAAAAGTTCAAACTGTTAAGGCTAAGAAACTGCTAAATAACTGCCTTCCACTTTGCCATGGGTCTTTATTGCAAATTAATACTTGCCTATCCTTTCCTTTATATAACTAATGTACCCTTAATCATGAAAATATTATTTATGGCATATTACTATGTTTACCTTATTATCCAAATTCTGGCCTCACCCTTGTCTCTTTCATAAGCAAAATCTTTTGTACTTATTGCAGAGTATCTGCGAAATATTCACCCTTTCTGTACTTATTGCAGAGTATCAATGTGAAATACCCTTTCTGTACTTATTGCTGAGTAACAATGTGAAATACCCTTTCTGTACTTATTGCTGAGTATTAAAGTGAAATACTTACTCTTCATGTACTTATTGCAAAGAATTAATGTATTGCAGTATCTATGTGCAATGTACCCTTTTTGACGTACTTATTGCAGAGCATTAATGTGAAATACTTACCCTTTCTGTACGTATTGTAGAGTATCAATGTGAAATACTTACCCTTTCTGTACGCATTGTAGAGTATCAATGTGAAATACTTACCCTTTCTGTACTTATTGCAAAGTATCAATGTGAAATACTTACCCTTTCTGTACGTATTGTAGAGTATCAATGTGAAATACTTACCCTTTCTGTACTTATTGCAAAGTATCAATGTGAAATACTTACCCTTTCTGTATTTATTGTAGAGTATCAATGTGAAATACTTACCCTTTCTGTACGTATTGTAGAGTATCAATGTGAAATACTTACCCTTTCTGTACTTATTGTAGAGTATCAATGTGAAATACTTACCCTTTCTGTACTTATTGCAAAGTATCAATGTGAAATACTTACCCTTTCTGTATTTATTGTAGAGTATCAATGTGAAATACTACCCTATTTGTACGTATTATAGAGTATCAATGCGAAATACTTACCTTTTCTGTACGTATTGTAGAGTATCAATGTGAAATATTTACCCTATCTGTACGTATTGTAGAGTATCAATGTGAAATACTTACCCTATCTGTACGTATTGTAGAGTATCAATGTGAAATACTTACCCTTTCTGTACGTATTGTAGAGTATCAATGTGAAATACTTACCCTATCTGTACTTATTGCTGAGTATCAATGTGAAATACTTACCCTATCTGTACTTATTGCTGAGTATCAATGTGAAGTACTTACCCTTTCTGTACGTATTGTAGAGTATCAATGTGAAATACTCAACCGTTCTGTACGTATTGTAGAGTATCAATGTGAAATACTTACCCTATCTGTATGTATTGTAGAGTATCAATGTGAAATACTTACCTTTTCCGTACTTATTGTAAAGTATCAATGTGAAATACTTACCCTATCTGTACGTATTGTAGAGTATCAATGTGAAATATTTACCCTATCTGTACGTATTGTAGAGTATCAATGTGAAATACTTACCCTTTCTGTACTTATTGCTGAGTATCAATGTGAAATACTTACCCTTTCTGTACGTATTGTAGAGTATCAATGTGAAATACTCAACCGTTCTGTACGTATTGTAGAGTATCAATGTGAAATACTTACCCTTTCTGTACGTATTGTAAGGCATTAATGTATTGCAGTATCAATGTGCAATGTACCCTTTCTGTACTTATTACAGAGTATCAATGTGAAATACTCACCCATTCTGTCAATCGTATTGCTCACAGCGTTACTGTATTTCTCTTCAAGGTCTTCAATGTCCTCATGAGAGAGTCCAGGAACACTATAGGAAACAATTTTTAATTAACAATTATGCCAAAAAGTCATCAAATTTAAAATCTAGTGGCATATTTTTATATGCACATAATTTCATTAGTGTAATTGATGTCTTCCTCCTTTACCCTTGGCCATTATTCACTGACATTAAAACGTCTTTTGAATCCTGATCATAACATATGTAACGATACAGTTAACAGTACATAATGGATGAATTGTACTTTGGTACTATGATTTTCACAATTCATCATCCAGTGACTTCCAGTGAAGTGACTTGACTTTTGAGATAGGACCTTGAGTTCGATTCAAGACGCCTCAACTTTGAATCTGTTTCAGATAAGATGTCTAAGCCTGGATACAGTGTTACACCTTAACTTTTCTGTGTCCCTGACCACCTTTGAGATACAACCTCATTTTAATATCACATCATGATCATGGGCATCAAGAATTTCAAATCAAAATTCAAACAAGTCGTGTGTTAGAAAGTTACAGCCTGGACAAAATATCTCAGTGTCTGGTAACCACCTTGAACTTTAAAATGCATATATGTACCTAACATCATCACAAAGATTTGGATCATGGCAAACAGGATTTATCTTGAAACTTTGAATTTATTTTCAGAGGCATTTGTAGAATTATAGCTTTGACATAACTAAAGATGAATAGCCAGGGCAGGATTTCAACATATTGCATCTATCACTTATTTTGATGTTGTGACTTTAAGACTATTATACAGCCTAGGTCAAGGGCTAAACAATACCATGGTCAAGTTTTTATTTACTCTACCAGGGCTGTAGAAGTAAGAGTCTGACAGATAACATGGAAGATGTCTTCTGCCATTAGGTCAAGGGTGAAGACATCAGTACGAATGCTGTCTTTAGAGAGGATAATAGAAAACTTGTTATCTCAGATTTCCAAGCTTATCCACTGTATAGTAGTTAGTCAGCATTCCTTTTTACACAATAGCATATTTAATGACTGAATAATAAAAGCATTTCTCCACCCATGTATACAAGCTATAAACATGTTTTAGATGTGCAGTAATGGTGGTGTGTCTGACGCAGACACCGAGGACTGATCATGCATGTTTTTTCTCCATCACCCTTGAGTCTTGTATCTACAATCAATTGTTTTCATGGATATTATAAATAAATTGTTTTTCATTATATCTTCTACCTGTCAATTATAGCATTTTCAAATATAATTATTTTGAATTGGTCTAAATTACATTGGCCTTTCATGATGTGACCAATTATTCATAAGAAGGGGCAAATGTTGACTGAATAGACCCACTTAATAAGGTGATGGGAATGCACCAGGGTCAACCATAGGTTCTCCAATGGAGATCCAATTATTAATATGCCCAATAAATAAAGATAGTCATTGAGTCAAGCAATAATTAGGTCAAATAATGAATATGCCGATATGATTTAGGCATAAATTACTTTTTATGACAAATTCAAAGTAAAAAGTGAAGCATATATATATATATATATATATATATATATATATATATATATATATATATATATATATATATATATATATATATATATATATATATATTGAAAGGTTAATCATGTTTGAAAGAAAATGATGCGAGAGTTTATGCAAGTCATGCAATTTAAGGTTACAAGTTAAGGTTATTGTTTGCAAGTTGAATGTAGATATGGGCAGGTTTATGTAAGTTGAAAACACTTACAACTCTACATGAAAAATGACAAATGATGATGACATCTATCATTAAAGGATGTACCTATTATTATGCTCTTCTCCAATAAAAGCCAGTCCATTATAAGAACATGTATCATACACTAATAACATGCTTTTAAAGGAATCAGTCTTCTAAGTAGTAAAATATCAACAAAACAAAATCAAAACTTTTTTTAAAAACAAATAAAAAAAGAAATAATCACTGAAACACCCTTTAACAAAAAGATCTTCCAAAGCAGATGATATGGTAAGGTTCCCCTTGTTTCAGTTAATAATGGATTTGAAACAAAAATTGAATTTACTTGCTGGAGAAGTGAACATTTGTACCAGTTTTAATACATATATCAAACATCTACAAATGACCAAAGTCTCAGGATTTTTTTCTCTTTTTTATTGACACCTTATAGTCTTTTTTAAGATTTGTGTACTTTTTGTTTAGGTCCCTGTTTACCACATATAGTTGAAAACAGAGATTTTAAACAGGGGTGTAGGGTTTGCATGCAAAGCAAAACAGATATATGACTTTATAATGTCTAACACTATTTTTCAATCCATCCACATCGATTGTTTTATTTTAGCTGTTGTGACCTATTCTATTCTAACTCCACACAAGGGTAAATCATAATATTAATATTGTCTTTAAGAATCTGGAATTTGTGTGTGTAGGTTTTTAAAATCAAATAAATGTTGTTATGAAACTTCTGTTTATAATTGTTTCAATGAGATTGACAATTAAGTTTTATTGTTTTTTTTAAATCACATTTTGTGGTTATCAATGGTCTAGATCATTCCATATAATTTATGCAAAAAATCATTTTAATCACATTCCCTCTGGAATTCTCAAAAAAAATTCATCATAAAAAAGATTAACGTTTTAGAAAAAAGAAACTACATAGTTCTACAAATAGGAAATTATTCAAGCAGGCTAAAATCCTTACCATTTTTCCTTTTCAGAACAAGTTCCAGTGAAATTGCCTTTCCAGCAGCAGTATGGGTCACTAAGACAGGCATCGATTTTCTTGTACTTGTCACAAATGATGACTTTAAACTGTTTGACAGAGGAGTCTGTACTTACGTAGATCTCATCATTCTGTAAAACAAAACAGTACCTCAATTCTTATTATGTTAACAATGCTGTCAAAATCAACAGTACTGTACCTCAATTCTTAGTATGTTAACAATGCTGTCAAAGTCAACAGTCCCTCAATTCTTAGTATGTTAACAATGCTGGTAAAATCAACAGTACTTTAATTCTTAGTATGTTAACAATGCTGTCAAAGTCAACAGTCCCTCAATTCTTAGTATGTTAACAATGCTGTCAAAATCAACAGTCCCTCAATTCTTAGTATGTTAACAATGCTGTCAAAATCAACAGTACTTTAATTCTTAGTATGTTAACAATGCTGTCAAAGTCAACAGTCCCTCAATTCTTAGTATGTTAACAATGCTGTCAAAATCAACAGTACTTTAATTCTTAGTATGTTAACAATGCTGTCAAAATCAACAGTCCCTCAATTCTTAGTATGTTAACAATGCTGTCAAAATCAACAGTACTTTAATTCTTAGTATGTTAACAATGCTGTCAAAGTCAACAGTCCCTCAATTCGTAGTATGTTAACAATGCTGGTAAAATCAACAGTACCTCAATTCGTAGTATGTAAACAATGCTATCAAATTAAAAACCTTATTTTTTAATTTTGTAAAGAAGTGATGGATATTGTATGGAATTAAATCTAAAGTCTCACGGAACATATAAAGGGAAAGTCAAAGTCACAATGTGGTCATTGATTATCGAAGGTCTTGTAGAAATTAATAAGCTAAATATAAATCCCTGTCTGCTGCTGTTAATATATACATGTATAAAGACAGTATGCATTTTGAACCCCCCTCCCCCCCCCCCCACCCCCAATAAATAAATAAATAAAAAGGCCAACTTCAGGTTTAAATGAAGGACAGTAAGCTTTAAAACTTGATAATATGATAAATTGATCAAAGTCACAAAGTCAGCAACCCATTTTACAAAAGCTTTTCTATAGCAATAAAGGTGTAACGTATCGGTTCCCAAACGCTTACAGTTGTTGACTGGATTGTACAGCTGTTATGATGAATTAAGGCATGTCTCTCCTGACATGAGTTATATCAAAGATTTTTTGAGAAGTATATTTTAGATAACTACTCATATAGCATAACTAAAAATCGCAAAGAAAATTTGGGGGTCAGTGTGCGTCTTACTGAGCAAGGGTACAATTAACTTGACCTTTTTGCACTTAAATTCAAAGATATTTTACCTGAGATGCAATAATGGCAATACATATAATCTTATTTCATGTAAAATAGTTTGAATAATGTTTATTACTGAAACTAGAAATAAGTCCATAGGACAAGAATACCCAGCCCAGGGTTCATTAGTAATACAACATGAACATTTGTATAAGTGTATAATGTTTGATGAAAATATCCTGAATAGTTTCTTTAAAACTGAGTTTATTACACAATAAATAGTAAATTCAAAGGTAATTGGGAAGGTCAAGGTAAGAATTTTCACTAAATAATGTATCAATGCAAAAGTTTACAAAAAAATATCTGAAATATTTTCTTGAGCAAAAAAAAAAAATATCTGAAATATTTTCTTGAGCAAAAAAAAAAAAAAAAAATGGGAAAGTGAGGTCAAGGTCAAAGGAAAGGTTGAGGACATACATGTAGGTGTTGATAAAGTTGAATAGTTCTCCTCAGTACGTATCAGCATATGAAGTTTGGTAAAAATATCTAACCCTAACCCTTGTTTTGTTTCTGTAAAACTATGCTAAACAAAAGTAATATATGACGTCAAGGTCAAAGAAAAGGTCAAGGTAAAAATGTTGATGTAGTTGATTAGCTCTCACCAATATGTATCAGCATATTACGTTTGATTAAAATATCTTGAATAGTTTCTTTGAAACTGAGCTTAATAACATTTTAAGATGAGTGAGGTCAAGATCAAAGGAAAGGCCGAGGTAAAAAAAAAATGCAAATGCCGTTGAACAGCTCTGATCAATATGTATTAGCATATAAGATTCGATAAAAATATCTTAAGCTTCTTTGAAATTGAGATATCACTAATTTAAGAAAGTTAGGTCAGGTCAAAGAAAAGGTCAAGATCGAAAGGTGTTGATGCAGTTGAATAGCTTTTAATTTGTATCAACATAACCAAGTTTGATAATGATATCATGAATAGTTTCTTTGAAATTTAGTTCAACACAAATTTAAGAAAAGTAAAGTCAAAGTTAAAGGAAAAGCCAAAGTCAAAAAATATTGATGTACTTGAATAGCTATCATCAATATGTATCAGCTTATGAAGTTTGATAAAAATATCTTGAATAGTTTCTTCGAACCTGAGTTAAATGCAAATTGTGATGGAAGGACAGACAGAAGGATGGAAGGACAGAAGAATGAAGGAACAAAAGATGGACATGACAAACAATATATGCTCGGGCCATATTCATGGCGGGGCACTAAAATCCTGCAAAAATCATTGTGCGACGTTTTTGCAATAAAAACTAGAAATATGTCCATAGGACATGAATGCCCTGCCGAGGGTATATTAGTTATGCAACATTTTAACACAAATTGAGAAAAGTGAGGTCAAGGTCAAAGGAAAGGTCAAGGTCAAAAATGTTGATGCAGTTGAATAGCTTTCATCAGTATGTATCAGCATATGAAGTTTGATAACACTATCTTGAATGGTATCTTAAAAACTGAGCTAAAAACTTATTTAAGAAAAGTGAGGTCAAGGTCAAAGGAAAGGTCAAGGTAAAAATATTGATGCAGTTGAATAGCTCTCATCAGTATGTATCAGCATATGAAGTTTGTTAAAAATATCTTGAATGGTTTCATTAAAACTGAGCTAAACACTAATTTAAGAAAACTGAGGTCAAGGTCAAAAGAAGGGTCAAGGTCAAAAAATGTTGATGCAGTCGAATAGCTTACAACAGTATGTATCAACATATGAAGTTTGTTAAAAATATCTTGAATGGTTTCATTAAAACTGAGCTAAACACTAATTTAAGAAAAGTGAGGTCAAAGTCAAAAGTAGGGTCAAGGTCAAAAAATGTTGATGCCGTTGAATAGCTTACAACAGTATGTATCAAAATATGAAGTTTCATTACACTATCTTGAATGGTATCTTTAAAACTGAGCTAAACACTAATTTAAGAAAAGTGAGGTCAAGAAGGACAGAAGGATGGAAGGACGGAAGACGGACATGACAAACACTATATGCCCCGGCCATATCCATGGCCGGGCATAATAAAAATCATATTTGGGGTATTAAAAATCTAAAGAGACAATAAAATATTTTCTTGAATCAAGCTTTCTATGACTTAAGTGCTGTTCGGTTGGAAATATCGTGTAGTTAAAAATTATGAAAGCAAAAGTTGGGGCCAGTGATGTAAAATTTGAGGGTCAAAATATGCGGTTTTCAGACAATAAATAATGCAAATTTTATCTTGTCTTCTTCAATATATCTTCATTTCTTGGCAAATTCTGTTGAGTGAATGTTTAAAATTTGTTCTTAAAGTATTATTTGAAACCTATATTTAATATTCTTAGCATATAATAACGCAAAAAATTTTCTGAGTAAAATATGTAACGCTAAAATTCCAAGATATTAAATTTAACAAATGTGTAGATTTGAAGAAATTTCTATATATAATATATATTCTTCCACCACAAGAAATAGTCCCACATAAATATCTTGTTTCTGTATGATTTTGTGACCAGTTTTTAAATTGAATACTGTATAGTTTGCATTGCTAAATTCAAATGTGTTATAAAAATTGAATTGTAATAAAAAGTATTGAAGATAAAGGTTCTGACCAAACTTTTATCAAAAGCTGAGGAGTGACAAAAGTTAATCAGACATTTAAAGAAAATGTGTTCCCTGACATGACCTCAATACTGGATATGACATAGAGCTCCTTAACACCTGCATTTTATGTAGATATTTATATCTCCATGAAGTTTCATAAAGATTTAATGTACTGTAAGAATGTTATGAAACTGTGATAGTGCCTCTCAGACAAACAAACAGGCAGACAGACAGACAGACAGATGGATGGAAAAAGTGATCTCTAAGTGAGCCCCATATAGTCTTCTCTGATAATGATGAAATCTTTATGAAGGAAACAAGACAGATGCTGATATTCAGTCTTATATTCAGAATATTTCTCAATCCTAAGTCTCTCATCATACTATACTTAATTGTTGTATTCCTTACAAAGAACTTCATGTCCCAGATGACCTCTGATTTGGGTAATGGTGAGAACACTGTAGATATGGCCTGGTTTTTGCCATTATTCCATGAATGAATCTTGTACACTTCTCCTCTATCTGAAAGCAGAAGAAACACAAAAATCAGACCTCGTAAGAATTCAAGAGAACCACTTTCATTTAAAATAAATTTGCGTTTTACCTGCATTCTTATTATTTCTCTGTTCTGAACAGTTGAAGTTCAGGGAACATTGACAAGTAGTTCAAACACGAGAAAACAAAAACAATAAAAGTTACCGGTGCCTACACTAAAGATATGCGGTCGATTTTACATACTAACTATAAAACTCTTGCTTTTGCGACAGGAAACTTACTAGAGGCAGCATAGAGAATGAGGGAACCTCCCTGATGACTTCGTTTCTTGTCCAACTGAAGAACATGCATCTGGATACCATCCATTAAGACCAGGGGCTTGTTCCCCTGTTGTTGTACTGGGGCGTCCTTTAGGGGATACTCCATCATAAAATTCTCCTCAACGTCCGTCAGGCTCTTTGAATTGTTGATACACTGTAAACAAATGTAAATAATGATTACTTTGCAATTTTAATTGTTACGCAAATTGATATGGAAGGAAAAAGAAGAAGTATGTTGCCTTAGAAGCATACAGTGAAACATTAATTTTTCATTATGCCTAATTTGAATTAATACTAACTTTTCCTGGCTCACTTTTATCGGGGATTTTATTTGCAGGGAGGGGGGTCCAGATAGAGGTAGGAGTCTCCCTATACTTGTAAACCCGGTCAGCAAACCTGTCCTTGACCGAATCCACTGTAAATCCACAGATGGCAGAAACAGACAACCCATTACTGAAACAATACAGATATTGTGACGATTAGCTGTAGTCTCCCAAAAAGAACTTGTCACTATATGTTCAATTTCAATTTTTATCAAAGAATTCAACAAATTACATCTAACTCACTAATACTTCTTCACTAAAACTAAAACTCTTAGACACACATCAAAAATCATTTCTTTCCCCCCAAACATTTCTTAATATAACCAATAAAAATGAAATAAAAACATCAAAAGAAAAATGGTTGACATGAAATGTCATCATGAATGGCTTCATGAAATATGCCTACGTGCAAGGCTGTGTGATTTACACACCAATAATTCACACAAAACTTAGAAACATTCCTTAAATGTCATTTCCCTATTATTTGACTATTATATAGGTGATACATCTAATTATGGAATAACGAAATTGAAAACATTGAAATATGTATTCCGACTTTGAAATTGTTATTGATTAAAAACTTGGAATTAACATGTATTTCTGAATCATGACCATGATGATGATCATGTTTTACAATTAACTGACAAATCTTCTTGGTACATCTTCACAAGGTTTTGACAATCTGGCGTTAAATCGTCAAAATCTACCCATGAATTGTACTTGCTACTGTAGATTTCTTATTTTATGCGAGTTCTTACTATCGCGAAATGGCTCTAAGACGTCATATGGCGAGAAGAAAAGTTCGCCAGTGAAAGGTTAGCTGCAGCTGACCTACGACTTAGGCCCTACGACCTTTTCCTTTAAGGATACAAAAAAGGCCTTTTTCGAGATTTTCAACAATTTCGGGATTTTTGGCTAAGAAAAAGAAGACCTGGAAGCTAAAGGAACGGAAGTTTACAAAATCGCAAGGGCAGATAATCGATGTATAGGGAAAACTCCGAGGGTAATCGAAAGCAAATGGTAACACCCAAGAAATTCCAGCTTCGCGGTAAAAATGTTCACTGACAAGAAAAGGCAGTGAAAATAATAACTGTCGAAAGTTTGGTTTTCACAGGCTAAGGCGGCGACGGGACGAGTCATTTCATTTAATGTATATTACATAATATGCATAATATACAGGATATTAGTTATACAAGCGCACTATATGTTATACCACGATTATCGCCCTTGCGGCGTTACCATGCAACCATGTAAACTTCCGTTCCTTCCAGGTCGATTTGGAGAGATGAGCCTCTAAATTGAAGAAATTGTATCCGTTTTCTGTTGATTGAACGCGTGTTGACGACTGACACATCAACATTTAGGAAATTCATCACTGTAGGGGATAGAACCATGACAACAAAATAAATTAATGCTTTAGAGTCCAGAAATAGGTGCTGAAGTGGGTGGTGGGAGTAATTTTTTCCAAGAAGACAGCTTTCGTTTCCTTGTAGAGTTTATGTATATAGGTATGGTACGTTTTTTTAAACATGGTATGTCTTGTCTGAAAGTGTCAGAATCCTTATTGTAATAACTCTTTAAGTGTATTTAAAGTAGATTCAAAATTTTATTAATTTATTTTACATTTAGCAATCAGGAGGACAAGCCCCTATGTTCTTGTTCATAGAAATCATTGCCTCGATCGGATACCCCTAGTATCCGGATTCTCCACCAATTGTGACGATTAAATTTAGTCTCCAAAAAAGAACTCGTCACTACATGTTCAATTTCAATTTTTTTTCGTAGAATTCAAAAAATTAGTCTAACTCACTAATACTTCTTCACTAAATCTTAAATTCTTAGACACACATCAAAAATCATCTCTTTCCCCAAATCCCCTCCCACATTTCTTAATATAACCAATGAAAATGAAATAAAAACATCAAAAGAAAAATGATTGACATTAACTTAGGAAGAATTCATATGACAGGAAATGCTTAACTTTTTATCTCTACGCTGAATGTATAACATAAAATACTGTCATTGAACCCGTGGGACAGGACGAGGAGAGATGTCTAATTTGAAGAAATATAACAAAGATGCTGAAACATCAAAGTAAACGTAAAATACATAAATTCACTCCTTGACAATATCAAGCTGAACCTCAAATCATTGAAAATCTTTACATCTTCCATAATCGCACTTTGAAATTTTTTTTGTGTGTTTATTTTATGCTAAATACACCATAAGAAAGCTTTTGTATAAATATCCCCCTGCATATATATGACACCAAATTAAGTTAAGGAAGGGAATAAATGTACGGCTTATTGACCCTGGCAGGACTTTCATCTACAAGTCCAAGGTGATCAATGACACCAAATTAAGTAACAGGAAAGGAATAAATGTACGGCTGGACCCCGGGACCCCTGAATTACTAGTGAAGAATCAGGTGCTCTATCAACTGAGTTACCCAAGCTGATATCCACGGCCCAAACCATATACTAATCATGCTGGCATGGAGCTAGTATAAACCCGAGGTTTCCACAGGAATAAACGAAAAAAACCCACACACAATGATATGTGATGATACATATTCAATGACATGATTGATGGAACATTGATGGTAAGAAATGAAATATAAAAAATACGAAATACAAAAATATTAACACTGACAAAAATGAGAGAAATATTGTGCAAAACGACAAAGCGACATTAAATACACATGGCAACACAAAAATAAATGAAAGTGACCATAATTAGTTACTGACATGATGGTGAGACGGAAAAAATGACCATAATTAAATGGACATGGCATAAAAATGAAATGAAAACGTGAAAAAATGACGGATGACAACAAGATAATAAAAAATCTGACAAAAACGGAATGAAATTTTTTGGAATGGGGCACTTCACTCCCCACCTGATATCTTTAAAGAAAAATGATATCACTCTTATAACTATATCTCACAAGTTTACTGTTCAAATAGAAGTCCTAAACCTAATTCCAAGTTAGAAATTGAGAACAGGGTGTACTATTCCACCTCTAGTTCTTCTTTTGACAATTTTCCATAAACACATCGACGCTAACAAAGGTGAAAGGCGGAGTAGGAGTCAAACGATCATATGGGAGGTTAGTTATCTTTTGCTCTAAAGGTTTAGCACGTAGTTTTCTGCAGGTTAGACAATGATAAATAATTTTTGAAATCAATTTCTTTTCTCCAATGATCCAGTAACCTGCTGATCTCAAGGCTCCTTCTGTAATGTATCTCCCTTGGTGATGTACATCCTGATGATAATGGAGAGCTAGAAGACGAGAAACATGCTGATCTTTTGGCAACAAAATTGGAAATTTCTCATGATTTAAAATCTTTGAATGACGGAGTCTTCCTCCTATACAAATGAGTCCATCTTCACCCATAAATTGATCCAAGTGGTATAGTGGACTATTACGAGAGACGTTTCCATGCTTTAAGGACTTTATCTCCTCACAAAAATGCTCTCTTTGTACGAAATGACGAACGGCCAATTTCGCAGTCTGCATATTTTCTGAAAGTTCTAAAACATCACATTGGTGCCAACCATGACAGTTCTCTCTAAGGTGTTTGAATGAGCGTAAAATATGAATAAGGTAAGATACCGCTCTCAGCAGAGAAACTTTGTAAAGCCATCAGACAAATTAAACGATCTGTGTCGACAGATACACTGGTTATCATTAAAGAAACTTCAACTTTCAGTTCTTTATTTGTGTCTGGATCCACTAACGGATAGGATAGTTCTCTCCTGAACCAGCATGTGCCTGGGTTGAGGGTCCAAGTAACCATGAAGAGAATTCAAGATCTGCAGCTGCAATAACACGTGTAGCACAATCACCTGGGTTGAATTTTGATGCAATATACATCCACTGATGAGGGTTTGTGCTCTGATGAATACGTTCCGCACGAATGGAGACGCACATGAAAAATCTCCCAGTGTGATTGTTTATATAACCAAGCACCACTTTACTATCTGTATGAAACCACACATTGTTAAATTGGGTTTTCAAAGCACTGATGATAGTGTCATGAAGTTCAACAGATAGAACAGCTGCACATAATTCTAGACGTGGCATAGAATGACCGTGAGACGATGCCACTTTTGCCTTCCCATGACGAATCTTATGGTTATTTATTGTTGGGTGAGGTAGACTGAATGTATGCAACACAATACAAAATAAGGTCTTTTTTGTAGATCCGAAAAATGAGGAACTCCCGTAAGTGTAGCATCGTGAAATGTCAATTTTCTGGAGATGACGTAATAAGCCTGTCCATGCAATCCATTGTGATTCAAGTTCAGGAGAAATACAATCAGCCCAGTCAACTTTTTCTCGCATTACTTTATGCAAAAAGAATTTTACTGCTATAATGGCTTGAGCTAGAAAGCTGAGAGGGTCATTTAAACTATTGATGACTGAGAGAACTTCTCTTCTGGTAATTGGTACGAAAACGCAATAGAACATCTAGGAGACTGTTATTGAAATCTGGTCCATGCAATAGTACACTCTTCAAAGATACACCTTGAGAGCATGTCGACGAGTAAAATACAACACGATTTTTCCCAGGTTTGCGTGGATTGTAGACACCAAATAATGGAAGATGCCACGATTCCTCATTGCCGCCGTAGAGGAGGTGTGACTTCAGCATGTCCTTGGTCAAGCATGTTCCCAACAAACGAAATCGTGTGCCGATGCTTCTCATCATCCTTCATAAGACTACCGTGCAGATTCACTGCACGGCGAAGAGTGTAAGCACGATTGTTGGGCAAGACTGTTCGATCATAACGGAACGGAATAATGCTTGCCAATTACCAGAGTCTGCCTTGCTGAAACTACTGTCCATAATATGGAGGAATTCCTTGTCCTCGACTGACATTCCAACTTTGCTGTCGTTGCTCCTTTTCATACACACGTTTGCACCAAGTTCTCCCTTACTGACATGGATTTAAATGCCATTCTCACAAAAAGGAAACATCGTAGGACTTCCATTTGGTAATACATGGAGATGAGTTTTCTGCACGGTGATGTTTGGTTTGTAAACTTTGTTTAAACATGATTTTCCTATAATTACCCATCCTAATCTAATTATAAGTTTTTGGGCAAAAGGAACATTTTCAGAT